CTTGCCCCCCTCCAAAAAAAAAAAAAAAGAGCACAGCACAAGTACCACTCACTCGACAAAAAATAAAAGAAAACAAGCCTTCGTTGCTTGTTCATTCTGTCTGTGGGGGTGGGGTAGTGACCGATCCTCCCCTTTATTTCCATAATTTTTGAGGATGTATACGTATGGTGTATTTCCAGAAAAGGAAGCAAAAGTGAAGGCGAGGGCAGTGGGGGGGGTAAATGTAGACGCTTCTGAAGTGAGTGAGAAGAGAAGGAAGGATGGACGACGGCCAGCCTTGTGGCTGAATGGCACATGCATGCAGACATGCAGACAGCTGTGGGAAAAAAGGTTATGGGTTTGAATCACCTGATGGGCAGCAAAATGTTAGGGGCTATAAGTCCCTTTGTGGGAAAAAGAAGAAAAAGAAAGAGGCACAAGGAGGACAAAGGGTAGAGAGAAGTTTGGGCGGGTTATAATTGGGACCAACTCGGTGGGGACCACCGCATGTTGGAAAAGAGTTGTAGATGTGCTGTGCTCGGATTGTAAATGGGGAAAAAGGAGAAGCTTGTTGCCAGATGCTGGTGTGGGAAGTACGATCTCGAATGCTGATGTCAACAAGTTTTACTCACTTACATATCCAACAACAGAATGACAACTCAACTCAGTCGAAAAGTGTGTATGCATGCGTCTACGCGGGTCACCAAAACCCATCCATCACTAACAAGAGCGCGCTCAGATAAATCGCGAAACGAAGAGAAGGGTTCTTCAAGAGCTCGTTTCACATTCTGCTATCTATCCATTGGATAAGACTGACCGATGGATGATTAGGAGCTTTGTGGAATATTCCAAGGCCTGATTGAAAGTGCTACCGTGTTCCTCTTATCATAACGCACTTTGGTTACATTAAAATGCATACAGGTTAACTTTTTCGGTCCGATACAGTGATGGTGAGGGTGCATTGTGCTCGTGTGAAGACGGTAAAGTGTAGTACTGTGGTCCTGAATCGATGACAGAGATTCATTAAAATGTATACAGACAATCTTTCCGGTCCAATACAGTGATGGTGAGGGTGCATTGTGCTCGTGTGAAGACGATAAAGTGTAGTACTGTGGTCCTGAATCGATGACAGAGCTTCATCTGGAATAGATGTAATTACTCAAATAAAAACAGCTTCGCTGGTTGTCGACCAAAGAATGTCATAATTAATTACGACTGGCGTCATTGTTTTTTTTGGTGATCGCGCCTGACGGCAGCTTCCTGGAAGCGGGAATTCTTTGTCAAATTAAATAAAGTGAAGCTTATGGAAACTTCGCAAAGCTCTGAGAAGGCCTGGCTAACCTACACGCACCCTTCTTCCCCGGAGCAAAACAACACCTGGTATTATCTGTATCTGGCCTGAAACTTGCACGGATTACCCGGCTATAACGACCGGGTGCTGTGCTCGGGGGAAGGAAGGCAGCCAGCGCACCCCTAACTCGTAAATGCCTGCAATAGAAGAGGGATTCGGACATTGATTCTGGTTCAGCCATTCAACATTATTATTATTATTTCTTGTTTGAATAAGAGGGGAGGAGATAAGGAGGAGAGTGGTTGGCGAAGAAAAAGGGAATTCTCATTGGTCTTTGCTGGTGTGCATCTTCTTCTTCTTCTTCTTCTTCTTCTTCTTCTTCTTCTTCTTCTTTCCCTCTCTCTCCTCTCAAGTTCATTCATTTCTTTTTGGACGGCATTGTACTTTTTGATGAATGTGTACTTTGAAATTGGCCAGGATCATAACAGATGTATATAATCACATCAAGAATCAGCTTCACCTAGCTGCTTCTGGTTTGGCTGGCCAATCCTCCAGCCAATCCAATCATGCAGGTGTTTGCGAACATCTGCGAACTGTTCTGGTGTGTTGGCAGACATGGAGTGCACCATTGCACCTTATTAGCTGTGGACTTGACCGTTTGTTTTTTGGTTTTGAATCTTTTGATTACATTTTTTCGAGTAATGGCGATTGCAGAATTTTAGGCACAGTATGAGGCATTCAGTTCTTCCCTCATTTCTATCTAGAGTGATCAGTGAAAACAGTAGCACTTCTTGCCTTCGGGTTTTGGTCTCTGCTTGCATGGGCGTGCACAGTTGTGAACGGGATAGCGAGTTGAAAAGAAAACATGCTGAAAATTTTTGTGTATTAATTGCTGTTGATTTGTCTTTGTTTGGCCTTTGCAGAGAGGGCATCAGAACTCCCTTGAAATTCTTCCCCAGTTCTTCGTGCTCTTCTTCATCGCCAGCCTTCAGGTGAGAGCACGGATACCAGATAAAACACAATTTGGGTGGATGCTTTCATTTACCGTCGTATGATTCCAGATGTCTGTGCTTGTTCTGTTCCTCAAATATCACACATCAACCGTCCCCTGCGCCTCCCCCTCCCCTTGCACCCTTTGGGAACACACACACTCGTGCATGCTTTTTATTTGGAAATCGAGCGGCTAGGGTTGGGAAGTATGAGATCCTTTTGGGGCAGTAGACGTGATTATTGACCCCTGAAGCTGGAGTTGACCAAAATTTGCAATCCTGGATTATGTCTGCATGGACTTTGAAGTTTGAACTGAGAGTTCTTTGCAATGGTATATTGTTTCTCAATTGCCCACCTTGATCAAAGTCGCTGTGACCCGATCGACATACTTGCCATTTCAGGCTGCGCATGTCAGCGTCAGCAGTTCGTTTTGGTTTTGGTAAATAGTGGTTTGCCCAAGAAGACAGTAGCTCCTCTACAGCCTAGCGGTCGGCGTTCCAACCTGCCTAAGCTTTGTCTGCAGACGAGCTTCTGCCGAAAGACCTCTATCCTTTGGCACAACCAAGTCTGTGAGCAGTATGAGAGCATCCTAGCACAAATCCAAACGAAAACCCGTACAAAGTACCAGCAGCGCCACGTATAAAAGGTATAGAAAAGAGGTCAAACCCACGAGAAAGAAGCGGTTACACATTCCAATGTCGGCGGGAACAAAGAAGATCCGTAACCCATGTCAGAAGATAGATAGATACACACTCCCACAAAATGAGAAAAAAGCAACCAACATGCTCACCACACAACAGGAATATGCATCCTTACCCGATTCCCAAAAAATAACACGGGTGAACAAGTACAGGGTCAAGGGTCAAAAGGGGGAGCTTGTGTCCCTACACGGTGGTGGTGGACTTCAGGGAAATCAGGAGTTAGGCCCAGCTCAGGAAAAACAGATCAAGAGTCGGAGATTCTCAGAAGTCAACGATGGCCGCAGATCTGATGCACGATCGGAAGGTTGTCTGTACCGTTCCAGAAGTTTCCATGGCCTACGGGGAAGAGGCACACGCCGGTCGACAGCAAATCGGGGTCATCCAGAATTGGAAATCTCAGCTGCACATGGAGGCAAACTGAGGCAGGCCAAGACTGGTGAGGACTACAAAAGTATTGCATGACGCAGTTGGCTCATTCATTCTGCCTTGTGCTGCTGGAGGCTGGAGTGCTGGCTTTCATTCAGCGGTGGAGGCGGCACCAGGGGGGAAGAAGACAGCGCCAGCCAGGAGAAAGGAGAGAGACAGCAGCTATAGCTAGGAAGGGTGCCTGAGCGCCATGGCTGTGGGATAGAGGTGGGGCAAGGAAGAGGGTGATCGGGACTTGTGAGGAGGGAGAGAAAGAGTGAGGGAAGCTTACCTTTACGTACCTGTTGATGATGGTGGTACTGAAGCAGCGGTCTGCACTTGAAGACTGGACGTGGCGGGCACTGACCTCCATATCTAAGCTTGCTTGCCGGAGGTTGGATTCCTGGGTAGGCACAGCTGCAAGATGGCTTCATCAGTACAGTCAGGGTGATGGTGCATTCTGAGGTGGCGAGTTGTGGGAAGGAGGTCCTGAAGGATAATGGGCAACTACAGAGATGGAACGATTGTTAACTTCGATTATCAATGAAGCTATCCTCCTCCTTTCTATTGCTTCTCTACCTTTGTCTTACTTCTTGTTCCTCGCTGCTGAGGCTGGGATGAGTATTTCGTGACTTGTTTTACATTGCAATCGGTTCCATATCGACATGCTCATGTTGTTGAAGCTTCTCATGATTTCGAGGTTCATTACAGTTTTGTATCAGATTAGATACCTCTTACCTTGCCATTTGATTTTGCTGGAGTAGAAATCTGAGGTGAAGAAGTGCAGGATTGCTGGTTGCTGCTGGAATAAATACTTCCTGAGAGAATAGTTGGAGGTGAAATACTGGGTTGACATGTGCTATGAGGAGGAAGTGATTGATTGATTGGTTGGAAGGTTGATTGCTTGATCGATCCAGTGGATCACAACATAAAACCATGGGGCATCTCCGCATAGCACGCACACGCGTGTCTATCTGTCACTAATCTCTGTGTGTGTGTGTGTGTGTGCGTGTGCGTGTGTGTGTGTGTGTGTGCGTGTGTGTGTGTGTGTGCGTGTGCGTGTGTGTGTGTGTGTGTGTGTGTGTGTGCGCGCGTCTTTGTTTTGTGCGTGTGTGTCTTTGTGTGTTGCTGCGTGCGAGCATGTCTCTGTGTGAGTGTGTGTTGTGCGTCATAGTAGGCGATTGTGCATTTGCCTGGACATGTGTGTGTTATGTGTGTGTATGTGTGTGTATGTGTGTGTATGTGTGTGGGTATGTGTGTCTCTGTTATTGATTGGTTGATTCGTATTGATTGATTGATAGGTGGATTATATTCATTGATTGATTGATTGACGAGATTTGATTGATTGGTTGATTGACTGATAAACTGATTGATTTTTTTAAGAAGATGAAATCAAAATGGAAATAAAGAAACGGAAATAATACCGAAATATATCATAAAAAATGAAAAGAGGAGGGAGAGCACTGAATATAGTTGGCCTCCGTTTGTTCCGTGCTTTTTTGTTTTTGTTTATGTTCGTGAAAATGACAGGAGATTTGGTAGCCATCACCCGGGCAATGACCGGAAAAAAAAAAAGGCACAGAGAAAAAAAAAGATTGCTAAGCCCCTATAGTATGTTGTCAGTCGGGCTAGGAGCCGCGAAAGTCAGCGGCTCCAGAAGGGCCGGAAGTTCATGGCTCCTTTGGAGGAGCAGTGGGGGGGCGGGTATACAACCCGGGAACGTACTCGCCTTGATGACTCTGTTCAATGGATAGGGATAACCCTATTGTAGTGTATGACACTGTATGTGCCATTTTTTGGACAACTGAGTGTCAGTGTGTGTTATAGTTAGGCGATGAGAGACTGACCTACTATGTCATGCGGGCGAAGCCACCGCACTGGCCCGTCTTGTAATCCACATAAAAACATAGATGCACATCTGCATCATGCGTTGAATAATACATTGAATAACAAACAACCCACGAGCACCCCCTATAGCTGAGTTCCCCCTCAGGACCACCACCAGCAACATTTGTATACTGCGATCGGTACATGAAGTCTATGTCTGATCAGGACGGACCGTGAGATGACTGGGATCGACACAATAGAATGTGGTGTGTGTGATGTACTGAAAACCCAATCTCGTTGTTGTGCCATTTGCTTCTGCTGGCAGTTCCCGCGGACAGCTGCGGTGTTGGGTGCAGTCTTTGTCGTTGGGCGCATCGTGTATTTCCTTGGTTACTCCACTGGCAACCCCAAAGCTCGAGTGTATGGAGGGTAAGTTGGTTCAGGACAAGTATTTGAGTATGCATGTACATGGTTGAAATGAATTGGAATTTGGAATGGATTTTTCTCTCCATCTGCATTTGATTTGATCTGGTAGAGACACATGCCTCTCTTAGCACCGATACGTGCGTACTATGTTTGTGAATGCGTACTATGTTTGTGAATGCGTACTATGTTTGTGAATGCGTACTATGTTTGTGATGTGAGGTAGTAATCGCTCAGTGACAGAGAATTGCTACGGTTCCTCAGTCACCTTTGAAATAATTGCAGCAGCAAAGAATCTTTTAAATAATTGCACCAGCAAAGAAAAGGAGGACCTGGATGTAGTGGTACCCTGCCAGTTAGGGATAGGGCAGTCAGGCTGGTCCAGTTTCAGGCTGCTGACCTGATGCTGGCCAGGTAGGACCATCGTCTGGGTAGTCCCCCTTGCCACTGGAATATTTCAGTGGGCTGTGCTCTGTTTCGTCGGGGCATTTCCGTCATACGAGCGGTCCATTGAGCCGGACTCTCAGCTGCTGCCTTGTGTGTGTCCATCTCCTTTATGTTCATTCCAAATTTCGTTTTTGTTTCCTCGCTATGAGAAAAAAATGTGGCTTGTATACTGGTGCAACTTCTGAGGCTCGGTGGAGCAAAATGACTGGCAGCGCTGGCCAAAGGAAGGCCGCGCCGTCTCATTTTCTTTGGCTCGCAGTGCGTTTTCTGCCCCAGAGAAAAGTGCCTTGGAAGTACTGGTGGCTTAAGGGAATTTCCATTTCATCTTTAATTCATTGTCCTCAGACGTCTAACTCTTTTCTGTAACTACCTGAATTAAAAAAAAAACAAATCTCGAAATGTTTGAAATTTTTGAATTAAAAAAACTTAAAAATTCCGAGTTTATGCTCCAATAATTTAGGGATTTCAATTTGACTTCGCATTTATCTTTTGCATGCTTCCCTCCATACCCCAGCCTTCAACTCTGTTGATATAATTTAGTGTTTTGTTGCCTCATTCTCTTTCCTTTGCTTCCACCCATGGTTCCCACAAGGCACTACCCGCGAGGAACAACGTGGCACTCGCGACACTCTTGCTGCGAATCGGTCCCACTTTCCCATGGAACTGCCCGTTCCTCCGTTTGCCAGACGCCCTCCTCCTCGTTGTCCCCGACCGTCTTCTCCCTCTTCCTTTTCCCTCCCTCTTATCCATCTTCTCCCTCTTCCTTTTCCTCCCCTCCCACCCACTCCACCGGATTGCTACTCGTTCTTGCAGGCTATTTGTTCCCCAGCCACATGGCTTCTGGCAAAGTGGCCACCTCGTTTGCTATGGCATCTGGCTCTGCTGCACCCTCCTTGCAGGACCAGATCCTTTCTCTAAGGGCAGATTTCCAGACTGAGCAGGCCACATTGCAGCACCAGTTCACTTAGCTGTCGGCTCGCATTGCAATCGACCTCGAGGACCGGGTTACCCAGATGTTTTACCTTTTCACTCGCTTGGAGCCAGTTGCTACACAGGTGGGCTCCCCTTGTCAGGCTGGTCCCACATCCGGATCCTGGGGATGTCCGAGTCGATTCCTGCCTCTGCTGCTGCCTGTTCTGCCCTACCCTCATTTGCATCTTTACCCACCTCTTCTGAGGAAACCACAATCGTCATCATCCCATCATCCTCTGCCATTGCTTCTTCATCTTTCCTTCTGTCATCTCCTTCACTTCCCACCCACCCTCCTCACGGCTCCTCCATCCCTGCCTCCCCCCCCCCCCCCCCCCCCCCCCCCTTCCCCCCCCCCCCCCCCCCCCCCCCTCCACCCTCCCCTACACATGCATTGCTCACCTCGAGCTCCATTTGCCCGCGGCTCGTGGCATCCCTCAGCCCACACTTTCCCGTCCGGCCTCCGGTTACCAGCATGGCCAAGGACTCCACCATCCCAATGCCTAGGAACTCGAGCACCAACTTGGGGAGCTTCTCCGCCAGGGCTCCATTAAAACGAGTTTTGCCCGTGGAGCTCCTGTTCTGTTCGTCTGTAAAGCGGACGGTACTTCACGTCTCTATATTGACTGCCGCATTCTCAAACACTACACGGTCAGAAAACGCTATTCCATGCCTGGAGCAAATGGGCTGTTTGGCTGCCTTGCTGGTCACCACCAGATCCAAGTAGCCGAGGAGGACCAGCATAAGACTGCCTTCCTATGTTGATTCGGATACTTCGATTTCATGGTGATGTCCTAAGGCCTCACCACCTTTTATACGGCCATGAACACGATGTTCTAGAACCTTCTCAAGGTCTATGCTCTGGTCTATCGTGACGACGTCCTGATCTACAGCCATACCATGCAGCACTACCTGTCCCATCTTCAAACTGACCTCCAGCATCTACGCGATCACAGGTTCTATGCGAGCTCTCCAAATGTAGCTTTGCCCAGACATTAGGTATCTGAGCAAGGACTCCAAATGGACGACTGGAAGATGAAGGGCATCGTCGATTAGCCTCCCTCTACCTCTGTTATTGTGGTGTGTAGTTTCCTTGGTTTGACCAACTACTATGGTCCTTTCCTTAAAAGCTATGCGCAGTACACCTCCCAGCTTACTCCTTTGGCTCAAGGCTGCATACCCTTCCAATGAACCCGGGTGCAGCAGGACGCTTTTCACTCTCTCAACGTTTGTCACCCCGCTGCCGTTCTTGCACCTGCCTGACCAATCCCATCATTCCTTGTCACCACAGACCCCTAAGATTTTGCTATTGGAGCTGTTCTCTCTCGCAGATCTATGCAGCCCCTTCTACTTCCCCAAACTCGCCAGAGTCTCGCCTCCCTTGTAGTCCTTACTTTCCGCACTTCCCTCCAGAGACAGCGGCTCGGCTGGCTCTCGTTGATCGTCCACCTTTTGGTGGTCTTCCTCCTTACTTCCCTGACGTTGTTGACGATGGTACCGTCGAGTCTCCCGATGGAGAATGTCTGGTTGCTTATCTCTCACGACAGATCTCCGTTGAGCGTGACGATACCGCTGATGAAAGTGAGGTTCTCGCCCCAGTATGCGCTCTCAAAAAGTGGACCATCTGCACGATCAAAACTTCATCGTTTTGACGGTCAAGTCTGATCTCGCTGCTTTGCAAACGAAGATGAAGCGTACACCACCAGGCTCGTTGGTGGCGTGAGCTTTCCGGGTTCACTCTCAACATCCGCAAGGTCTCTGGTGAGAGCAACCGGGTTGGGGATGCCTTATCATGTCGCCCTGACCATCACCGGGACTATTGCCGGTTCTCTGCTATCTCTACTATCACCATCCATCCCTCGTTTACCGGGGGTTCTGCCAACTTCCAGTCTATGTACGCTGACATCGAGAACAAGAAGCCCGAAGCTAGCTATGTCCTTGGTCCTTCTGGTCTACTCTACTGGCTTGGTCGTAAAGGTAATCCGACTTCCTTACTCCGCATGCCCTCCACTGGCCAGCTTCGTGTTCGTGCCATTGTCGAATGTCACGACCAGTGCGCCACTGGCCATCTTGGTTTCCTCAAAACTTTTGACCACCTTTCTCGACACTATTATGGCCTGGCCGCTTCGATTTCACTTGGGAATATATCCGTACCTGCAAAACCTGCGAAGAGGTCAACAGTTCCAATGATTTCCCTTCGTATTATTCAGCCCTTACGTATTCTGAGCATTCTTACTCATCTGTGGACTTTATCTCCATGGACTTCATTGTCCCGAGGCCCCACGTGTCCTTGTCTGTCGGTTGACTAAGCATGCCCACTTTATTTCTTGCAAGTTCGCTAGTTCAGCCAAAGACATTGCTTTTCTCTACTTCAATCACGTGGCCATTCATCACGGTCTTCCCACCAGCATTGTCTTAAGATCGTGATCGTCACTTCACAGTTAACTTCTAGCATTCTCTCCATGAGACATATGTCATTGAGCTCCCGCTCCTCCTCCTCTTATCACCCTAGACAGGTGGACAAACCGGAGGTCACCAACCTCCTGAGAATATTCTCAGAAAGTTTGTCGAGGGTGATACTGACTGGGGCTTTCACTTCGCTCATGCAGAGATTGCCTATAATCAAGCCATTTCTCCAGCTACAGGTACGTCTCCCTATTTCTGTGACTTGGGATATCATCCTAGGTCCCATTTAACTTCCTCCACCCATGCCAGATGCGTCCGGATACTTCATGCCTGCCTTTAATGCATGGGTGGCTTGGGATGCGCGGCTTTGTCACGTGCACTCGCGCTATGCAGAGATTGCCTATAATCAAGCCATTTCACCAGCTACTGGTACGTCTCCCCGCTTCCGTGAGTTGGGATACCATCCTAGGGTCCCATCTAAGTTCCTCCGGCCACATCGCAGATGCATCCAGACGCTTCATGCCGTGCTCTGAATGCATGGGTGGCTGAGATGAACGACCTTTTCATGTGCGCTTGCGTTAGCATTGCCGACTCTGAGACTCTCATGGTTGCTCACGTCAACCGTTCCTGCGTGCGTGGAACCATTTCAAGGTTGGAGACAAGGTCATTATCGACGTATGCCATTTCTAGCTCGCAGCCAACACACTTGAGAAATTCAAGCGTCGCTATAGTGGACCATGCACCATTCTCGCCCTTTTGGTACCGAATCACGACTGTCCTGTGAGCTTCAAATTGAAGCTCCCCGATTCTGTGTATCACACTAAATTACATGTATCGGTATTGCGCCCCTTTCAATGGCCGCCACTTATTTTTCACGGTTGACCATACCCTTGCCCTTCTCCCATCGTCGTGGGGGGTCGCGAGGGGTTTGCTGCCTTTGATATTGTGTGCCGGCGTGTTACGGACGATCACCCTCTCCTTGTTGAGTATCTTGAACAGAGGAAGGGTTGTACGGATGAGGAGTGTACTCGAGAGCCTCTTGAGCACTTGAAACACGCTATAACCTTTGTGCGTGCTTACAATCGCACTCATCCATTTCTTCAGTTTACCTCCCCTGCTCCTCCTCATTCTCGCACGGACCCATCTACTTCAGCGACCGCTAGCACTCCCTCTTCTACCTTGATGGACGCTCCCGGTCCACAGGTTCCTGACAGGTTCCTGCCTCAGGTCCTTCTTCTGCCCCCGTGGATGTGGTTTCGCCTGTCGATGCAGTCGATATTCTCGCCCTCAGTGTTCTCCTGGACTTCTTTTTGGCCATCGAGACTGATCGCTATATGTTTCATTACGTCCCTTTTCGACACTTCTGCAGCAGTTCCTGGTTATGCCATCTACTTCGGCTTCAGCAGTTCCTCTTCAGCAGCGGAGGACCTGTCGTAGTGTTTTCAGACTTCTACTCAGTTTCCATGCTGCTCCTACTTCAGTGTGGCTATGTTGGTGACTTTGGCGTCTTCTCACGCCACTTCATTATCTGAGCTCGCCCTCATCATGGATCTTCATCGGCTCGACTAGTGACTTTCCCTCCTCTGTGGAGTTCCCCTTATGTTCACCCGTACCCCACGCCTTTGAGCTCACCCTTATGTCGCATGATGATTTTTACTCTCCACCTAATCGTTTGGATATATGCTATCCCGATGTATGGGCTGTAGCGTCTCTCTTGGCATCCCATTTCTGCAGTTCCACCCCATGCTCCGCGCCTTCCTCTGGAGTGTATATTGTCTTTACTTGCAGTTTTGTTTACATTAGGCCTGGTATCGTGCTGTACCCTCTCCCAGGCTCATCTGACGTGTGTTCCCTTGTGTGAGCGGTGGTACCCGTTGGAATCGGTTGGATGGTTTTCATTAGGCCTGGTATCGTGCTATACCCTCTCCCGAGCGTGGTGATACCTTCCTATTTGTGTGGGTGCCCCGTTGGAGTTTGCTCTGAGAGCTGTACTTACCATCCTTGAAACCATCCCCGTGTTTTTTTGTTGTGACTGAGCTCATCTGACGTGTGTTCCCTTGTGTGAGCGGTGGTACCCGTTGGAATCGGCTGGATGGTTTCCATTAGGCCTGGTATCGTGCTATACCCTCTCCCGAGCCTGGTGATACCTTCCTATTTGTCGGGGTGCCCCGCTGGAGTTTGCTCTGAGAGCTGTACCTACCATCCTTGAAACCATCCCCGTGTTCTTTTGTTGTGACTGAGCTCTCCCTTTCTCCTATAGAGGCAAACACATATCTTGGTCGGTTTGAAAACAAAGCCTGCACCTTCACGAGATGCTCATTTCTAATGTAACTTCAGTAGAAGTTCATAAAGCAGGGGCTCATGCAGTTCTTCTTGCGCATGTACTTTGTCAGAATGTGCCACAAATGATCCATGCCATTCACTTCTGGTACATATCAGCCATCTGATCGGCTGGCTCACTCTACTCCATGCACACTGTCACCGAGATGCACCCACTTGCAGACACCATCTCCGGAGCCGCCTCGAACTTGCTCAGCCTACACACGATCGGAGCTTAGTATTTCCAGAACTTGTTTACCCGCCACTGCCACCACCACCGTCACCGTCACCGGGCCTATTTGTTGAGCCTACAATTTTCCCATTGAGTATGTAGTATGTATCATACTGGCTTCAGGCAGGCTGTAAGATCAAGATCGTGGTCTCCTTGTGCAGACCCCAAGTTTCGGAGGAAGGTATATATTATCACTGGTGGTTTATGCAACTTTGTTCCCAGAATATGCACCCTGTATGTATATTTTGTACCGACAAGGAGTGAGCTTGGTGCCCAAAAGGGGCTTATAAAGGGGAGATGAAGGAAGCGGTGGCCAATTTGACGTGTAGGGCATGGTGCTTGTCGTTGCAAAGCAGCCGGTGTCTGTGAACTGTCGTAACATGGTTGGTGAGAGACTTCACTGTTCGCTGGAATGATCTTATTCTTCTCGTTCCTCGCACGTCGATTGTTCTTGTTGGATGTATTGTATTGGAAGTACATTTGGGTATGGCTGGAGTAGGGGAAGTCCAAATGTCAGCAGCCCTTGCACTCACCTTGTCTCGACTTGATTTGATTGCCTTGGTTGTGCTCCTCTTGTTCCAATGTTCCCACTTTCTTCCCTGCATATTCCCTTCATGGGTGGTTGTGATCATTCAGTCTTGTCTGCCCATCAACCCCTCGTCAGCACCCTTTTCTCCCTCTGAACGGTCTCCTTCTCCCGTTTCTGCTTGCACGTCACCATCAGACTTCTTTTTCGTTCCACAATCGTCACAAATTCAAAATGCTTCCCCAACTCTGCTCCCTTCCGTATCCCTTGTGTTCTGTTTTCTGTGTTACGTACCGTCCATTTAATCCATTTGTACGGTTTGATGTGGACTCTCTCAATGTGTATATCTTAGGGGCAGTGCATGCCCTTTTCTGATGTGGAGAGTGCAGAATTAAATGAAGACCGTTGAAAATAGTAGCAATCTAGTTGCTTGGTTGGGGTGGGATGGGGGGGTCAAGGTGCCCTTCTCGGGGAAGATACAGAGCATCATACTCTTGCCCAGCTTGTTGCCTCGGGAGCCTCTGACAGGTCGTATTGTTGGTTAACGTGTGAATTTTGTTGTGGTTATGACCCTCTTGCAGGCCCTTGTATGCTCCTAGCCTTTTGGGGCTGTTAGGAATATGCATCTACACAGCAGCAAAGCTTATGATGTAAGCTTCGTGGTGCTGCTGCTTCGGACGATGCTCAGGGGTGCATTTGTCAGGACGATGACGCGTGTCAAAATGCGAGAGAGATGCCTGTGCCGGGCATCCGATAGCATGTACGGAGTATCAGTGTATGTCGACTAAGTATTTTCATGTGGCCAGTCTCATGGATTACAGGGGAAAAAAAAGGAAAAAAACAAATTCATGTGGCAAGTTCCACAAGGATGGATTTTTTCTTTGCCGGATATGGATATGGTCCATCAGATCCATATGGATTCAATGAGACCGATTGCGCTGGTTGCTTCTGCCTGAGCAGATGGCAGGTCGCAGTGAGGTTGACATCGGTGGGTGGGAGCTGTGCGAGAGACGACTGTGAATTGAGGATCGCTGGAGGCAGTGAGTGGCGTAGAAGTGCTCCCTCCTGCTTTCGTAGTAAAAACTACTAAACATATCTTGGGGTTTCCTAGCCCACCCAAGAGCAAGCAGCATATTGCTTAGTAAGGTAGGTAGTAGTCATTGATTGGCAGTGGACGCTTCCCATATCGACTTCATGGGTAGCGACACACAGCTAGCCTCGGTTGTTATGCACGATGGGTCTATAGTACTGACTCTGGTGTTATAAGATGTATCTTGGCAATATGGATATCATGCAGCATGTAAGAGGTCAGTGCTGTGCTGGAGAAGGAAGGATGATGCTTGTGCCTGAGTTACAAGCAAGCAGGTCATTTTGAAGAGGCAGGAAGGGGTCAGCTTCAACTGCAAAACGCGTTGGTTGCTGGTGCGAAATGTGCAACAGCCGGGTGAGATGTATGTCTTCTCTTATATTGTGTGGAGTTAGTCGATGTCGTTGACTATGTGTTTGTGCCTGTGATAAGGTTCTGCATGTGTCGTACTTAGTATTTTCATTCTCTTGTGAGCATGCCCTGTTCTTCATGTGCTTGTGCCTGTGACAAGGTTTTGTAGGGGCTGAACTTCGTTTTTTCATTCTCTTGTGTGATTGTGCCCTGGGTTATGGATCGATGAAGAGGTTGGCCCGGCCCGGATACCTTTTTCTGCCCCAAAGTCCTATCGATACACATGTGCACACTCACGCTTCCTTCCGGTAGGCCTAAGGACCCCTGATCAGCATTGATTACTTCTTGACAAGAAGGATCGACCGTCGCAGCTTGCTGTTCCTTCTCGTAGCCCTCTCAAACTTGGTTCCCGACTCCACTGAATTTGGGTCCTTGCTCCACCAGCAGGCAAAACCGATTCGTGTGGCAAGTAGTCACGGGACTTCTCTTACCAAGACGCCGCAGTCGCTCCACCAGTGACCACACTGGTGAGTGCTACACGGCAAGGCCGGGCTGTGGCTGGGACCAAATGGGATGGTGAGTTGCTCACCATGATTGGTGGGTGGGAGAGAGGAGGCGGCACCACAACCATGTCGTTGCAGGTGGGGGAGAAGAGAAGTGGGTGAGTACTCGTCACTGCCGGGTCACCAAGAAGAAGAACCCTACTTTTGACACTCAGGCCATGGTGGGTGGTGGAGCGACCATGCTGCTCACCAAAACACCTCTGTGGTGAGCGGTGGAGTGAGGTCCTTTGTCTCGAACACTCAGAATCGTATAAGGAACAGCTTAGCATCAATTCACAGTGTTGTCACGGGGGGATCCCCAGGGCCCAAGGCGGGGCTGGGGTTTGACCCCCATACCCCGACGCAGGGATGGACAACCCGCGCACCCCCAGCATCCCCGGGGTTGGGCGGGGGTGGAAATTCAGAATCTCTGTTTCTTATTCCCTTCATTCCCCGTCAAGTGGGGGCCAGAAAAAAAATGCCCCAACCTCATCACGACCAACCACCGCCGACCCCTGCCATTGCATGTACCCCTGTGGCCACTCCCACCCCTGCACCCGCACCCTCGCACCCTTCACAAACCGCACCTCCATCCCTACATCCCCACCCCACCACCCCACCCCACCACCCTCACCCGCGGAACCCCACCCCAGCTTGGACCTGCCACCCCCATCCTCACCCTGACCCCCATTCCTGCACCCCATCCCTGCAGCCCGCACACCCCAACCCACAACCCCCATCCGCACACACTCGCCCCCTTGCCCCGAACCCGCCCGATGATTTACCACTGCCAAATATACTGACCCCGCCAATACCCCCCCCGAAACGCACATCATATCCTCCAACCCTGCCCCTAACCCCCAAAACCCCTCCCCGAATGCACAAATCCTCTAATGGCTTCCACCCCCAAATATACCCAACCCCCTGACACGCCCACCCCCTCAACAACAAAAGAATACATCCTATCCCCAAACCCTGCCCCGACGCTCCAAAACCCCTCCCCAGACAGACAAATCCTCCAATGACGTGGGCCCCCCACGCCCTGCAACCCC